CTGAGCAGGGATAAAACTCAGGTATCCTGGCTCCTAGCCACACCCCTGCTTGCCAGCCTTTACAAGTCAGAGCTGTGCAGGCAATAAACTATTAACCCTTAATGTGTGACTGCTTACAGCACATTCTAACTTTAACACCACTTAACACTGCACAGATGTTAGTATGGTCTAAGTGTAATATGTAACTTCAGCTTTATAGTAGCCCCTGACAGCCTCAACTAAGATGAATTCTATATAGAACCATTCCAGTCTCTGAAGAGCTTCTAATCTAAGGGTACATCTACCCTATGGTTATCATAGCTTGTGTAGACATACCTGCTGGTGGTACTGCTAGTGGTATTAGTTATGGCAACATGGAGCTTGAGGACTGCAAAAGTCATTAAAAAAAATCTGCAATGAGGCCTGTACTACTATAGCCACACTGTACTACAACTGGCTACACCAGTTAGGACCTGAGCTAACTGATTTAATGTTTGGCTGGCTAGGCTGTAACTGAATTGCACCGTAGACATGCCTTTAGGACACAAAACAAAGGAAGTACCAGCCCCATTTTAAAGGTCAGATATGAACACAGAGAGTAGTTATGCAACTTGGCCAAAGTCAGACAGGGAGTTTGTAGCAGATCCAGAAACTGGACTCCAAACTTGCATATGTTAGTCTGCCAGAGGGCCAGACTTCTAAGTCTGAGCCTCTAGACTCTAGGTACTGCTTAAATGCAAATAGTCAGAAAATTGGATTGGGAGAGATCTTGCAGATCTTCTAGACTACGGACAGACATTACACATAAACCAGCTGAAGTGATCAGAAACTGGTTTAAACCTGTAACAGAACAGATGCTCAGTACAAACAAACCAGTCTGAAAATGGCTGAAACCAGTTTGAGATAAACCTGGTTGAATGTAGTATCAGACTTAACTGATTTGGGTCAAACCAGTTTATGCAATATCTGTCCCAGACACTTTGCTGGTTTAAGCTAAACCAGACACCCCCAACATCCCGGCATGCTCCCTGGGCCTGGTGGAGCTCTCTGCTCCACAGCAGGGCTGGCCCCTCCCCTTTGCTCCCTGGCTGGAGCTCCAGCAGAGCCTTGCAGGCACAGCAGGGTCTGCTGGCTTCCCCATGCCTCCGTCCCTCACCACTCACTGCTTAAGCCAAGATCCCTTCCTCCTCTCTCCCACAGCACAGACTGTAGCCAGCATGTGCTATGCTAGCTAATGCTGTGTAAAGCAAATAAGACAGTGTCTGCTTAGGGCTTTTTGGAGTTAATCAACAGCTCAGCTGGTAGTGTCCCTGCATTCCTTCCTTTGGAAAAGGCTGACAGGGTTTTTTGGGTAAATCTGATATCTTTTATTAGACCAACTAAATACAGTAAAAACTGTGTTAACCGGCATTTAAGTAACCAGAACACTCTATTAACCGGAATTTCTAGATGTGGGAGGGAGGAGGAAGCTCACACGTAGCAGGGAAAGCTCATCGCTAACGCCACCCACCACCCTGCACTGTCACTGCTCTGCGTGCCCCCACATGGCCACTGCAACCCAACCCCCTCCTGATAAATGCTAGGTGGGGACCTCTCCCTAATCACCAGGGATCCTGGTTTTCCCTGATAAAAAATCACAAATACTCTGATAAAAAATTGCAAATTCTCTGATAAAAAATCCAATCTGTGATAAAAATTAAAGCCTCCCTGACCCTGTGTACCCCTCACTCCTCCCCACAGCCTCCCCAGTCAAGCTCATGCCCCTTACTCACCCCACAACAGCCCCCCAGCCCCACACACTCAGGCACAGGCACAGACACACAGACAAGCACATACACACAGACATAACACCCCCCCCAGCAAGTAGGTGTGTGGGGGGGATGGGGGAAAATGAAGGGGTTGTGGGGGCAGATTGAGAATGGGGGAGGAGTGCATCTCTGTGCCTGCTCCCAGGAGGGGGAGTGGGGGAGGGCACTGGTGCCCATCTGTGGGCCACACACCGCTGCCCGGCCGGGGAGAGGGGAAGCTTACACACTGCGGCCACCACCCCACCACCACTGCTGGGGGGAAGCTGGCTGGGGGCAGAGGGAGTGAGGATGTGCTGGAAGAAGACGTGGAGTGCCTGCCAGCTGGCAGGCACTCCTGATGGGGCTTTCCCCAACACTTTCCCCTCCCTCAGCCTGGGCATGCGGGAGGGGAACTGAGTGTGCCCCAGGGTGCAGTGGTGGAGCGGTGAGGGGCACTGCCAGCCCCCCCACTTCAACTCACTCCATGCCCGCTCCCAGAAGCAGGACTGGGGGAGCAAGGGCAGCAGTGCTTCTCTGTAGGCCACACGTGCTGCTCAGCCAGGGGAGAGAGGAAGCTCACATGCGGCAGCCACCGCCGCTACTGAACTGCCACCACTGCACCTCGTGCCACAACCACTGCAACCACCATGCTACTGTACCTTGCTTCCCATGAGGCTTTCCCACCGCTGGCCACAGGCAAGCGGCGCAAAGTGTGGCAGCAGCAATGGCTTCCGTGTGCGAGCTCCCCCTCCCCCCCAGCTGGGCAGCACACTTGTGGCCTGCAAAGGGGCACTGCTGCCCTCACCCCTGGCCCTGCTCCTGAAAGCGGGCACAGAGTGAGCTGAGGTTGGGGGCTGGCAGTGCCCCTCACCCCTCCACTACCATGCCCTGGGTGTGTTCTGTTCCCCCCCTTCTCACTACCTGCCCACCCACCTACCCAGGCTGACGGAGGGGAAGTGTTGGAGAAAGCCCCACCAGGCGTCTCAGTGCCTTCCCCCAAAACATCCTCACTCCCTCAGCCCCCAGCCAGCTTCCCCTCCAAGTCCTGCCCTGCAAATCCAAAGCCCCACTTACATCCAGCAACAAAGAAGACTGATCCTCTTCCTGCGGCAGTCTCCGGTCATCGGGTCCCGCCCTTTCCCCCTCTCCCTTCCCCTCCAGGCAGGGATGGAGCTTCCCATTCCTTTTGCAAACAGCACTTGCAAGCTGGAACTCTGCAAAAGGGGGAAACCTGAGGGTTTCCCTGCTAAAAGAGAAAATCCACATTTTCTCCAATTAAAATGGGAAATCCATGGTTTTCTCCATTTTTCCGTGGGAAATGGAAAACCCAGATCCCTGCTAATCACAGTGTCCTGCTGGGGCCTGGCCATGCCCTCCTAAGCTCAGCCCTATGCAAGGGAAGGGGGAGGGGAGGGCTGCTCTAGCACCCCCCGGCTTCTAGCCTGAGCCACTGCAGGCACATGCCTGCATTTCTGGGATCTCTGTCTGGTTACAAAACTGATTTAGCTTAGCCAGATTAGACTAACCTGCAAAGATTGAATCAGTTCAGGCTCAGGCTTTTTGAATGTCTGTCCCTTGCCCTAGTCCAACTATCTGTCCAGCTCCAGAATTCATTATTCCTAACACATTCCAGACAGATGCCCAACCAGCATCTTCTTAAAAACTTCCAGTGAAGCAGAGTCTATATATTCCCTGGGCAGCTTGTTCCTACTATTCTTATGGTCAGGGAACTTTTCCACAGATTCCTCTAAATCTGGAGTTTAAAAAAAAGACCCCAAACCTATGTGGATATGTACCATGGGCTACTTCATCTGCAACCACCTGCTACACCACTGAGCACAATATTCTTACAGTCTTGTAAGATGTGATATGGGCTCTTTAAGGACTGCATGTAGCTCTAGTTTTATGTATCAACCCAAAAATGAATCAGTACATTCTAGCCAGCTGAAGTGGAGTTCAGCTGAGATTCAGGCATATGGGGTTGCATGGCACTGAAGCACCCTTGTGCCCCACCCAGTTGAATCACTGTCTACAGGTGCAATGCTGAGCACGAAAAAACTCCGTAGCAGGGTAGTACTTGTATTTACAAGTACAAATCTGATGTGGAGTTAATTAGGTTTGGGCACCCTAACAGGGACCCATGTAGATGCCAAGATATTTACTGCAGAGCTAATTAGACAACTTCAATAAGCATCTCATGTAGACTTCTCATCCCTTATGTAAGGACCTGGGATACAATAGTGGTGGTATCATGTATGCTAATATAGATAATTTCCATAATGTGTGGAAGGAAATGGGTGGGCTGAAAGACTAAAAATGACCCCCTAAACAGAATAAAAACAAGACAAAAGCAGTGTATGATGTAAGCAAGGTACAGGAAGATGTAGATTGTTTTGCTGCCCCGCTTCAAAATCTTCAGCTAGCTCATTTGGTCTATGTCCCAGCATAGTCTTCCCAAGATCTGTGGCATTAGAACACTTTATTGCAGCCCATATTGTTACAGGTTCTGGGACAGAACAGAGATCACTTGATACCTATTACATTGATCTGCCACATCAGTTAAGCTTGTAGAAGTAAAGGAAATGAAGGTGGCTAATCAGGGGGTGGCTAGCACATGTATATGGTCACCTGTACAAACAAGGAAAAACAATATCATTATCGGGCATATGCCAATAGTTGAAGAGAGGAAGGAAGAATGAATTAGCAATGGGAATGCTGAAACAGGATTACGCTTATCCTCAGTAATTTGCACTGAAAAGCCAAAGGTTATATTCATCGCTCCCAGAAACCCTCCAACAACATTGCTGAAAGTACAGGTCCCACTTAGACTCTGAGCTATCTTGATGGTTTGTCATTCACTCTCTCTACTGCCTTGTTTTCTCACAGATCCATCCTACCTCTCAGTGGTGGTTCCCCTGCCTTTTTTTTTTAGCATTTGCTCTTGACAGTCAGTCCTCCACTTCCCTAGCAGGTCAGAAAGTGGCAGCTGGGAGTTTCTGACAGCAAGCTGGACAGTCATGTTAAACCTAGACCAGGCTCACCTTCCAGTAATAAGCCTCACCCCTTGATATACTTCCAGATACCGTGAGTTGGCAACCTACCATCTGGAACTCCCCAGTGTTTCACGACTAATGTTCCCAGGAAACAAACTTCTCACTAAGTAGAAGCTGTCTTCAGGCCAAACTCCTCCTCATCTAAAGTCAAAATAGGCTTCTGTTCATGACAAAGCTCAGGGATGTGATGGCACAAGATTAGACAATGTAGTTAATGAGCTGGAGGCTTGGATGGAAATACATTTTTTCATAATCACCAGTGATGATACATAGGAAGCTGAAGGGAGGCAAAATAATTCAGAGTAAGTCTGAATACAGGAGACTTTTTCTAAGTTATCTCATGTGGTGGCAGTGAGTCTTTTCTAGTCATTCCAGTGTATTATGCCTGAGACTGATCTCTGCTATGGTGCTGTCAGCTCCCTGTTCCCAAATTCAGAAAATTAAAGAGAGAAAATGGATTGGACTTTATTTGTTTCCTGATTTTGAGCCTTTGGGGTTCATGTTTTAAGGCTTTTACATAAACATGAAGGCTATAAACTAAGAGCTTGACAACAGGTGAATGTTGTGCTGATAGCATTTAAAGGTGTTTGTGTTAGACATAATTAATAAGGTTAGCTCAATGCAAAAAAGCATTTGGGAAGTAATTTCTGTCAGAGGTAGTTATTTCAGTGGAGTTCCAACAGCTCAGAAGCAAGTTTAATTAAAATATGTCAGTCTTATCCCAAAATTATTGTCTCCAATTGATCCTTTTGCATTGTCTTATAAACAGATTTAAAGACAGACTGGTGCATCTTTATTTTATAGACAAAACTGGAACTATTAAGAAAAAATCCAGTTTTTGAATTGGTCAATGAAACAGCCATTTTACTTCAGGGCAACAAATTTGTTAAATCTGTTTAGAAGCTATTGAGCCATGCTTTCATGTTCAATATAAACATCCAAAATGATTTAAAAATTGGTTTGGGAGAAGTTTGAACTTTTTTGTTCCAATATGAGACACAGAAAACTTTTAAAATATCAGAATTCCTCATGGAGCAGAAATTCCAAGATGTCAATATCTTTTGACAAAAGAAAAGAAAAGAAAAGGTACACAGTTAAGAAGTTGAGATCGCAGGTAGTTGCAGGACTCCAGGAACTGGAGCTTTAAGAAATACCCCATCTGAAAACAAAGACAATAACACAACCACCCAAATACTGTGAAATTCATAAAACTGTTCAAGTTGGTGATTGTGTTGCTGCCTCATTCTCAATATGGTAACTTCAGACTCATTGAGAATAAGAGAATTAGTTCAGGACAGTAATTCTCAATCCTTGGGTGCTGTGGGATCCTATGAAAGGTGCCACAAGGTCTGAGGAGATAAGCAGGTTAAGTGCAGCCTCAGGCTTGCCCCTGCTTGGCTGACTCTCCCTGCTCCCCACTGCATGACACCTCTGTCAGGAGGTAAGCACTGTAATATATAAATTAGTTTTTGAAATTGGGTGCCACTCAATTCACAAAAGTTATGCAAGTGTGCCTTGAGTTCACTGAGGGGTGCCTAGAGGCCAAAAAGGTTGAGAACCACTGGTTTAGGATTTAGTGGGACTGAAAGTATATTTTAAGGCAATATGAAGGCTAGGCTTTCACATAGACCAGGGGCTTTCAACCTTTTAAAATAAGTATACCCATGGCAGCCCCCTTTTCAGTAAGTATACCTCCCTGCCTGGGGAAGTGGGAGGGTGACAAGCGGCTGGACACAGTGTGGGGGCATGGTATGCGGTGGCAGCGCAGCATTGGTGCAGCCCTGCTCTTGCCCTGACCCTGCCCTGCTCCTGTGAGGCAGTGGCACGGGGTGGCAGCACTCCTGCCCCTGCATACCCCCTGGGACCTTTCAAAGTACCCCAGGGGTATGCCTACCCCCAGTTGACAACCCCTGACATAGACAATGAAGAAGAGGATATCAGCAAGTGGGCTGTATGTGACTAATGAAGCGGATTTCCTACTCCCTGGTCTCCTGAAAGTTCTCCCCTCTAGGAATCAGTGTTTCAGAGACACCTTGTACACAGCTTCCTGGGGGAGAAAAAGAGTTGGGTTTCCTTGATACAAGAGTGCCACCCAGAGGAAAATTACAAAATGACACAAAAGAGCAATAAGCATAAGGACACCTCCCATTAGCATTCACACTGTCTACAGGCAGCTGAGATTTTATTCCAGTGTCACCTGTGCCATTAATAAAGTTGGCACTTGTGGCAAGGCACCTATTTACAAATACGTATACTGTTTTCACTTGAGTTATAAACAAAATTGATGCTTTTAATACTTAATTACTGAGACAATGACTAATACCTACTGGCAGGTATTAATTGGAAAAACTGAAAAAAGCCAGACCTATTTCAATACACTAATGAATTTGCATTACTGTTTCTTTCTTTAAAATATTGAAATACACCCAAAAACTAAATCTCAGTATTCTTTGCCAGGGTATCGGTGGGGTCTGATCCAGTGAGGTATTCAGCTCTTCCCCTGACGCACCAACTACAGCAGTGGTAACAGATGAGTGCAGACATCTTAGCTGGATGAAGTCCTGTGTGTCTCAGATTTGACCCCTCTGCCCAACCTGGCATACACATACAGTGACAGAATGAAGACAATCACTCATAGAAGGGATTGGATTTCTTCCAACGTGGAATGAGACTTATTAGAAAGAGGAAGGCCATACTGGGATGGTATAGCAGAATAAGGATGTTCTTGGAGCATCATGGATTCAAGTATTTTATATTCCCATGATGGGATTTAAAGGGAAAAAAATGTGTGGGAGGTATCTGGTAATCCCAAGCTACAGGGCTTCTGGTGATCACCTGGAGGTCGGAAGGATTCCTTCCTTTACTCATCTCTCAATACTGCTTTCTTTGGTGTCTACAGTTTTTTCTCTTTATCTCTGAAACACTGGACATTAACCACAGCAAGAGGTGGGACTCTGGCTGTGGTGCATTGGTCCCCAAACAGTACATAGAAACTTCTCCGGTATCTTGACTGAGAGTCTTGCTATAGACCCAGAGCAAACTGATGACTTGATCTGGGATCAGTAATGAATTCTCGCCCCCCACCCCCCAGGTCAGACTGGCATGAACTGCTGGGGTATCTTGTCTGCCTGATACATAGCCTAGCAGCACCTGCGCCTTTCTTAATCCAACAAATTCCATGACACTGCAGTAGAAAGTCACTTAGTGGAGACTTGGTATTCCCTACCCTTTATGTGTGGTATGCTGGAGGTTTCTCTTTGGCCCCTCCAGTCCCAGAGGCTGTGGTGTCAGAGAGCAATGGGAGCCCAAAATTTTGTGAAGCCTTTGGGAAACTGGCTGTCTGCAAATGCAGGGGATTGGATTTGATAACCCAGGAGGCTCCTCTGAATCATCTGTTCTTGTGTTGTACCCTGGTCTCTGTTTCATTCCCAGACCCGGTGATAAGAATAGTTTCCAACATTCTGCTTGCTTAGATTTCTGCTACAGTTTTCATAACCAGTGCCCATAGCCTCAGAGAATAGTGCCCATCCGTTGGAGACTTAGTTCAAAATACAGGACAGTGATAATGTGATATTAGAACACACAGTATTTTCACAGCAGCAGTCCATTACAGGATGTCATATTGTAAATCACAGCTTCCATTCCCTCTCTAAAATATTCCCATTTAATCATGGCATGATAAGATGAAATCCCCTGCCAGGAAGAGCCCAGGAGGAAACAGTATCCTCAGATGCACCATCTGATATCAGCACATGTTCAGCACCTCTCAGGATTCCTTCCCTCATGTTTCTGCCCCATCAAAGTGAGGGAAATTTGCTTTCATTCAGAAAAAAGTTTGTATATTATTAGCCAGTGAGGCACAATCAAATGCAAATAGGAGAGTGCTACTCATGACATAAGATACAGTTATAGCCAGTCATCATAATGAAAGAAAACCAAACACCTGTTTCCTTAGAAACATCTAGTCATGGCATAATGGTATGTTGACTTTAAGGGAGGGGGTTTTAGTCATAAGCACATAATAAAGAGGAAGAATGGACTGGTGGAAGGAGCTGGGAAAGCCAAGGGGAGGGGTGTGTCACAGGAAGGGGAAAAAGGAGTGGATTGTTGACAGATCTTTGGACTTAGAAGAAAGGAAGGGGGTCCAGAGAACCTGGCCTGAAAGAGAAGGGAGAAAGGCAGGGAAGAGCATTGATATAAAGGCCAGAAGGGACTGGCAGACAGGGGTGAATCTAGGTGGGTACAGTGGTGCAGTGGCACCCCCCTGATTCCTACCTGACCAAAACTTGAAAATCAACTGCCTAGGAGGAACAGAGGTACTTCTATTCAGGCAGTGCCGAGAAAGTCAGTTGGCTTCACGGCTCATTATCATTACCTGGATTCCTACTAATCTCTCTTCACTCCACAGATGCTAATGACCCTCTCTTCTTTGTAATGGTCTTGATGTTTCACTATTCAAACCTTTCTTCTACAATGCTGCTGTCTGTTAGCCATTCCTGGTAATGTCTCTCTTTATTTCACAGCCCTACAGACTCTTTTTTAACTCTAGCTAAAACCCTTAACTCAGGTATGGTAATACTAACTCAGGTGTAGAAATGACTGACAATGAAGTAGTGGAGGCACTGTCAAGATGCTCAAAAAGCTAGATTTTGTTTTGGAAAGCTGAATAAGAGACATACATTTAACTATAATAACTATAGAACTACTGACACCATTTTTTACTATTTTTTGTCAAGCTGGCTGTGTTTTTTAAAACATATATAATCTAGCAAATTAATGCCCATTTTCAAAGTTATATTTGTTTTTGCTTTGATTTTAAACTGAATAATATAGTGCTAGCTCCCCAGTATTTTAATAAAGCATCTAGTTTTTCTTTAACTGGAAAAAAATATGTCATATGTGATGATATACCACACCATCTGCATCCTCCTTCTCCAAATCCTATATCCACCCATGTTGTTAGATCATGTAGTCTGGCCTGAAGAGGTAACCCTGGGTCTCAAGAGTAGGTGACAGGCATTGGAGAGGACACATGGGTCATGTCTACACTACTAAAGTGAAGTAAGGCAATGACGCACTGCTCCATGTGTATCTCATTTTGAACCAGATTCAATATAGCTACCTAAGTCATGCCATGCGTGGGCCACTAAGCTCATTTTCTCGGGCATGGTTACTGGCATGTACCTCATACTGCTCCAAGGCAGTTACATTGCTTGTCTTGTGTTTAGGACATCCAAGATGTCATGTTGTGCTTCCCTGTATGACTAACATGGCCCAGAGGTGATGCAGATATGCTGTCAGGGTTGCTCAGGATGTGGTAGCCCTGTTTAAGTCACTCCCTGCTGCAGTGGAGACTTACTAAGGTGGAAAGTCTGGACTCTCCCTCACTATCTTAGACAGGGTACAAGTCAATGAAGCACAGGTGACCAAGACCTGACTAGCTGCCACCTCACCTCCATCCCAAGCCCAACCCTACTGTGGGGGCACAGGAGAGAGTTTTCCTGTTGCCCTGCTGTTCAATTTTACTACTAAGGGTACATGTGACTCCACCAGGTTCTCAAACTCTCTGAGAATGCAGATCAGCTGGGAGAGACGGCCTGCCAATCAGGTCTGCCAAGGCTACCTCTCCTATTTGTAGCCAAATGGTATACCAGGATCAGAGCATAATTAATTCAGTAATTGATTCCAGGGAAAAGTACTATTAGGAATGCATTAAGAGTCACAGCAAAAGTGGCTGGGAATGAGGAGCATTATTAGCATATTGTAACCAGCCACCTCCATGTAGAAATGTAGGAGCTAAAGAATGCTCTGTAAAGGGTCAAGTAACAAATATTACCAAATACAACCCAGGGTGTCTGCTGTTAGGGCTACGTTTTGCTAGTAACGCACAGCACAGCTGTATGATCCTATAGGAGCTGAGAAATGGATTTCATCTCAGGAGAAAACACTGGACACTGTTGTGCAGGGATAAGCCTGGGGTGAGTGTACCTCATGATTTAGGAGCATAACATTGCTCCCCTAAGTGCACAGGGGCTACAGTACTGTTTCTACCCTGTCCCTCCCCACCCTAGGCACCCTTGAGTGCAGTCTGCAAACTGGTCTGTGATTGATCCTGGCCTTTCCTCAGGGCATGGGTATGTGGGACAGTGGTGGAGAGGAAGGACTCTTTGCATCCTTTCTGTTGTTTGTGTAAGGAGTTTCTTCTGGGTTTTACAGTGTTGAGGACATTGTTTCATTGATATTTTTGTTCTAGTGCCTTTTTTTGAATCAGTTCAGTTGAAAAAAGGTAGAGAAAGGTTTGTGTTTTAGAAGAAAAACCCTGGCTGTAAATTGATTCACAAGTGGGGCTATGAAGGATAGATTTACATTCAGCTCAACCTAAGCTTTTCCCACAAGGTTTTCACAGACAATTTGGACACCACCCAAGAATCTCTTCCTTTCTGACCATGGCATCAGGGAGAAATTGTGCAACAATCCTCCTTTCCTTGAGGCTCACAAGGCAGCTCAGGTTCTTGCTTAATTACCTCCCATCACCCTAGGGAACTGGTGCTCACCGTCTTGGTTGAAGGCAGCCAGCCACTGTGTGGGAACTCACCTTCTCTGGACCAAGCCCAAATTGTAGTTGAACTGTCTTAGTTAACCAAGTTTGAAAGGATACTTCTGGGATTCTCACTCCTGGTCTCCAGGGTCCAGAGTGACTTTGATGTCACCCCTAGGATTCTGCAGCTCAAGGGTGACTGACTGTATACAGGTAGAAGAAGGGATGATGATGACTGGCTTGTTGCCTCCCAGTTCCTACAGGACCTTTCTCTGAGGAGTCCCCCATGGGAGAAAAGAGCAGGATTTTTTTCTGAAGAAGCCTGCTGCCTTTGTAGAAGAAGCAGCCCTGCTATGACAGAAACAAGAGCGGTTGGAAGTAGAAGGCAAATCAGTAATACTTGTGGAGGAGGAAGGGTTGGCTATAAGCCTCTGCAGACTTTAATTATCAGCAGTTACAGTATAATTACTGCTAACCGCAGCTGGCCCTTCCCAATGGGGGATGTGGTTGTATGCCCCCACCCCATGATGGTTTCCAGTATTACCTGATTACAGAACTTCTGTTAGGCTGATATCTACAATGTTGCAAAAGGGTTGCTTACCGTTTTGGCATGATCAGTTGGCCCAGCACACTGATTTCCTTCTTTCATGTCTCTGTCAAGGCCATCATCTTTCTTATAAACTTCCTGCTCACTTCATCTTTTCTCCCCTGGATGCAGAACTTGCATGCTCCAAAGATCTTCCTCAAGATCCATCCAACAGATACATTCACATCAGTCCCCTCCAGGGGTGACCTTTCCCAGATGCTTGATACTTCACACATTTTGCCAATGCCCGTTACCCAGTCTTGAGACCGAGGGCTACCTCTTCAGGCCCAGAGTCAGTCAGAAAAAAATAGCTTGCTTTTAGACCAGTAGCTTTCCCAACAGTCCTTGTTTTCATGGCCTCTCACTACGATTGTCCCTGGACTACAAGTCCCAGAATTATTTTGACCAAGAGGGAAACAGGCACAGGGGAGTTGAATCGTCTTTAGGGCCCAGCTTTGTCTGTGTCCCTGATACAGGCCTGCTGGCCAATCAGCAGACAAGCCAGGATAGAATATTATTTAAAAAGTGGTTGGAAAAAATGTATTTTGCAAAGTTAGATAAGTCAAATGTATATTTCAGGGGTATTTCTGCCTACCCCATATATGGTCCTTTGATACATGCAGCTTAGAGAGGCAGATGTTTGCCAGAGCCCCGACTGTCAAACTAGGACAGAATGCTCTCACGGAGGGCTCCCAGGAGGCAGCCATGATTGCAGGATTTCTAACCTGTGAAGTCTGCTCTGAGCAAGCTGTTCAACTGAACATCCTGGGAGAAGTCTCCAAAGAGCTGCTCAGCAGTGAAATTGTGGCTGTCCTGGGAGAAACAAGATATGGAGGAACTAGAAGCTGAATACAGTGCGTACAGGCTGCCAGGCTTGTTGTATTGAGGTGCTGAGTTGAATTTCTGGGAACATGACTTAACTAACACTCATAGAGTATTGGCTTTCCTGGGTGTGATTGGTTTCAGTTAAGGATGGATGTCACATAAGAAGTGTACACAGTAGCTTGCTTTCTACATCTCTCCCCAACATTTGGTGCCTTGTTCATTTCAGGATGGTTGCTAAAGAAGAAAAAGATGTAAATGTGCTAGCCACCTGAGCTCAAGGTTTCAGTGTTGCCCTACCTGTTCTGACCATGATTATATGGTCACATGCCTCTCGGGAGTTGTTTCATAAGTTCGGTGATTGTTTTTACTAATATGCTGTTCTGGTTTGTAGAGGTATGCTGTACAACTACCACTGTTTAATAAAAGTCATAAGCCTGCTGTTGTGATTCACCCATAGCTATAAAGTTCCTTCAGTGAACAACACTAGTCAGTGTTCAGTCACCAGAAGTCAGTCCTGTCTTTTCATGTCTTCTTCAAAGAATTCTGGCTTATGGGAAGGGTCTC